ACATACATGAAGTGAACAGTCAGGAGAAATAGGTACTTATTAGAATTATGACTTTTATTTTTATTCACTAGAGCAACATTGAGGAAAGAATTTTTACATACAGGTTTTTAAATCAACTTTACAAGCAAATTCCAATATACAGTATTTACTCTGGCCTGGGTTAAAAAACAAAAACAACGAAGCAGATAGTAAGGGTACCTCTTGTTTCAGCTAGTATTGAATTTAAGACTTCACTGACACTGGAATTATATTGTTTTTATTGTGGTGCTTTTACAATTAAGTAGGCAGTGAGCAGCTTTACCACAACAGTGACTGAATTTTCCTTGACAGCATAGTTGTAAGATTACTATACTGAGACCTACCACCAGGATCATGTATTAAATCCACTCTGCTCAGAAAAAGCCACTGTAACGAGATAAGGAATAGCTACGGAAGCCCAATGCAAGAACAGATTTCCATTTGTATGGCAAGAAAAATGTCCATATTAAGAGGATTATGTGCTGTGCAAAACCAGAAATACTTCCCCCCAACATGCAACCTACCGAGTATGACACTTTAGAATGTGCATATGGTTGTGACATGCAAACAAAGGAAATCACGCAAGTGGTATTCAGTTTTCTAGCATCGTTACAACAAATCAGCATTTAGATCAAGGATGAAATCAATTTTACTGACCTATGATGCAGTCTAGTTGCTACGTCTAGTCTTGCTGCTACGAGACTTAAGTTGAGGAACCCATTTGTTTTGGAACTACATGAAAAATTCTGGGCCATTTTGGATTTTCAGGGCCTTTGTGATTATTTTGAGAAAGCCTAAGAGATAATATTGCACTTCTTGTCTCAAACAAAAACATATGCTGGGAACATTATTTTTGAAGGGCTATGCTAGTCCTGGGGAAGTTTTGCCATCGGCCTTGATTGGCAGTGGGAAGCGCTAGCTTCAGGGAAGGGGAAGGTAATCATCTGGCTGCATCATCAGTGTTAAGATTCCACAGTTAAATTAAAGTCATTGCACAACAAAAACTCAGTACACTATATGAATATTTTTAAACATGCTAGAGTGCATATCGATTCTGTGAAAGGGATGTGAAGATACCTTGGAAACGGCAACACTCGCAGGGAAATTAGTTTCAAACAAAAGCCACACACAGCAGGAGGCATCTAGATTATTTTAGGCACAACTCCAAGCAATAAAGCTCATTTAAAGTGCAATTCTGGTTTTTTTGTGTTTATTCACTTGTTAAAATGCGTAATTGCCTCTGTACACACATACTGAACAGTAGTTTAATACTTTTGTGAATATTGCACAAAAGAATGAGAAATCAAAAAACAAAAAAATGGCAATAAACCAGTTTTAGAAACCTAAAGAAACCCTGAAGATATCAAATCCTTTAATTTACGCATTTAGGATAATCTGCACCAGTACTAATGATATATCCGCACCTTCCATAAGGTAGCTACGTTACCTGAAAATACTTACTTTAATCCCATTTGACAAGCTCTACACAGCGCCCTCTTATCCATCTCCCCCCCAACCCCTCTCCTTTACTGAAGCGAAGTTCCAAAACTTCACTACTTCTCTTCCAGTTGCCCATCTACTGACAGGCTTTGCTCATACTCTGGACTTACTATACATGCAACAGAACCTTCCCTGGCAAAGTCTGAAGAGCCAAAACACGTAGTTGTCTTTAGAGGGATGCGAGGTTAGCAGCTGAATACAAATACAACTCAGGCTAGCATCTGTCTCATCTGTGATCAAATCCTGCCGTCTCCAGCTCAATGCCTCACTAATCTGTCAGAACAAAATGGGGAAATGCTATAACAAATAATATAATCTACTTATGCTTCTTTAACACAGAAAAAAAACCCAAACTACCATAGAATATATTTTTGTTCTTCTGGGAAAAAAAAAAATTAAAAACTATCTTCATTTTTATGAAAACCCTGATCATCTCTTTGCTTCATTCCTTAATTTTCAGTAAAGGTGCAGATAGATATCTATCTATACTTTTAAATGTAAACATAAACATTTTAACATTACTAAATCAGGCTGGTGATATCTCCAGAATAAGAAGCAAAAGAACTCATGGTGAAATATCTCTGTCAATAGCATTAAGTGTCAATCATCTTTTTACAGAAAATAATTTACAACTAAAAATAACATCAGCTTCTCTTCAAGGAAAATAAACTTAAAAAACACACCTTCCATAGAAATCTATATGGACCAGAAAACAAACCAGGAATCTGATCATTCCCTCAACAGTTTTTAAACTCCTGAGAAACAGTTAGCTGCCAGGAGCTAGTTTTGGGGAATATAAAAAGACAGCTTTATTTTCTTATCAAAAGCAAATACTTATACCGAAGGCCATCTAATTCAATGCTTTTCAAGGAAAGAAAGAATTTTTCCTGGAGAATAATTGTTACAGCAGTCTTGAACTGTAGATATTTTGATCCTGTATCAACTGTAACAATTAACATTACCCTTGTTACTTCTTGCTTACATTGTCTCCGCCCCAGTTAACAGGAAATCCTGCAGGTCTCTCAGTGCAGATTGATATAAGCAGTTTGGAAATAAAACCTCTCCCCTGCCCATTTTACCCGCAAGCTTTTCAATTTTCCACTTCATTGTCAGTTAAAAGAATTTACAGTGTGACAAATCCAAAAAAACTTTCTTGGATTTTAATTATGTACTGAGAAATTCAGGTGAAATAATTATGTTTTTTTCTTTCTCCCATCCAAATAAGGTATCCATCAGGATAGTCCTAGTTAAATGGTTTATATTACAGAGGTTGATTATTGAACTTTTTTATGAAATGTCTATACCTATTCACTTTAATTCTCCCAAAGAAAATACTGTAATATGCCAATGTCCTATAGCCAAAGCCTAGAACAAACTATTACTATGTTTCATTTTACTGACATTATTTGCTGTTCAGGAACAGATCTTGAGCTAAGTTATTTTAACAGCCTTCTGCTGATAATTTTAAAATCAATTCAAGAACAGAAAAAAAAACACAATTTGAAACATCCAAGAGACAGCGACGGGAAAGAAGGAAAGAACTGGAGATGGGACATAGCATTAAGTTTCTGGAAAGCTTCACTGGATATGCATATACTGAACTCACAGCACACGTGTCGTGGTCCCACAGTTGCACCATGATGGGCATGTATTTCCAGACCACTTTCAGAAAAAATACTTCTCCTAGACAGCAGAAAAATGTTGGGTTTTTTTCTTCTTCTTTATTTCCTCAAAAAGCTCCTTCCCAGTTATTATGTACTTCTTTAGAAATTACAAAAACAAAATTTACAAAAAAAACCAAAACCAAAATAAACATCTCTGAAAAACTCTTAAGAGTACCAGCTCTGGATTAGGACGTAACAGGATTGCTCAAAGCAAATAAGTGGGGTTATTTTTTTTAAAATAGGTTTTAATACAAGTTTTATTCTGTAAAATAGTTTCAAATCCTTACATATATGGCGAAGTTTGTGCAAAATTTCAAGTCAGGTACTTTAGAGTCTTTCCATATTAAACAGAAATCAATAAATACAAGTAGTACAATAAAAGTTAAAAAATATTAATTAAAATGCATGTTGTGCAACCTCAACATAGGTGTTATGGACCCCTTACTCCCAGAGGCTCCCTACTTACCAATTCATAAGAGCCTGTATTGGAAGGTTTTGCACAAGTATCCTTAGCACTGCGTTTCAAGAATCTACCCGGTAACGTGTCTATTCAACACAATAAAAACATACCACAATCTTTTAAGAAATGATGATGTTTAAGAGAGAAGGTTCATTTCACCCTGTGAAATCTGCTTATTGTCTGTGAACAGTGAAAATGAGATAAATAAAGAACAGAGCAACTTCAGATTACAGCAAAACAAAACAACACAACCCACCCAACCCATTAGATTAAATAACATTAAATATGTCAGTCTTGAGATAATGATAAATACAAGGATTTTTGCATAGGCCTCTGGAATACAGAGTCAGAAATATGGCCAATAAAACATCAGCTAGTAAGTCTAATTTTCCACCACTCTAACCTAACGAGTACTCAGAACCAAGAAGTTAAACTGAATGATAATTTCATTGTCTACTAACTCAAATCAACAGAGGTAAGAAGTGATTTCTGTTGTCCTGAAACACATAGTGCAGCGTTCTGGTATTTGTGGTCACAATAGACTTCAGTATTTGCTTAATTACTAAGAACACTGGGCAATACAATCTTTAATACAGATCTACAATACCATAAAACACTCTCAAGAGAAGCTGCACAGCTCATAACACGAGCCTCAGAACAAAACAGGATGGAGTATGCAAATATTAAAGAAAGACACTATTTTTAATATTCACTCAGGATTTGCAGGCTGTAGGTGAAGCAGCCTCAAAGGCAGTCAATACATAGGAAGTAGTTTAATGTATGGCATCGTTCAATGAGATGTAGGTATGTTCTCAATGTGTCTTTGGTTTAGGGAGGCGGGAATGCCTATTAGAGGGCAAACTATCCGCAGCATGCAAACCGGTATTCTGTGTTTGCACATTTTCCTTTCTCTGTACCAGTGGCTTTGGGATGTTAGTCTTCAAACAGGTGTTTTGAGGCTCTGCAGATACGGGTGTGGATTTCTGACTGCTCATTTGCTTAGATTTAACAAAGGACATAGTTGGCGGGCGAAGTTTAGATACTTTCTGACTCTGTTTACCCTTTAGGTTATCCTGACCAGGTGTTGACTGTAGCTGAGTCGAACCACTTGGTGGTAGAAGCTCAGGTTCCTTGGAAGCAGCAGAATGATTTGCAGATCGTGCGACAACGGCCATCGTAGGAGGCACTAAAGCATTTGGGGGCTTTGCGATTCTTAAAGTCTTTGGCCGCGAAGCCTGGTTTGTGAACGAGGGTTGACCTTTCACAGCTAATTCAGTCTGCACCGCTCTAGCATCAGCTCCTGTAGAGGTCTGAAAACAGGACCGAGACGGTAATGTTCCTTCTTTATTACTAGCCACCTCTCCAGGGTCTTCAGTATTTTTATTTTTCAAATTTTCCAAATATGATGCATTCTCATCTTTTATGTTTAACTGTATGCTCCTTAAAGTGTTTACATCATTCAGGCTATTTGTGAGAGAGACATTTGCAGCATTTTGATTCTGATGATTGCTATTTTCATGCAGACCATGTTTAGGATATTCACTGTGGGCCTCGATATGTGGTATTTTTATTAGTTTTCCCTGGGCGAGGTCTGTGGAACTGGGAAGGCTGCTGGAAGGCTGTAGTACTTGAGGCTGTTAAAGAGAAAAGAATACAATCACCTATTAGGCAAAGAAAACACCAGGTAACATTCTGAATCCAGTGTGCACTGACTGGATGCTTGATAAGGGCTGTATATCTGGTTTTTTAAAAATCAAAACTTTGACTTTGGCAAAACAGGATGGTTCATGGGACAAATGTGACTTGTAGCTTAAGTGGAAAAAATTATACTAGCACCAAGATACACAACAACATAAAGACAAAAAAGAAACTTATTAGCTTAAAGAAACATGAAAAAGGCATGGTTGATGGTTTCACCTAAATCTGCAGGACAGCATAAGAATGGCACACGAGTACTGATCAATTCTGATTCAAGTGCTTAATCAACAACTGCAACTGCTATCAGACTGTATCCATCTTTTAATTTCTATTCACTGCATACTCAAGTTGACTATCCCAAACCTTTTATCAGTGTTCTATACTGTACAGGCAGGAAAGGAGTTTAATGGACCACATGAATTTACAGTGCGTTTTCCTCACCTTACTCAGGTCAGGAAATTTGGTACAGGTATGTTGTAATTAGGCTACTGACTATACTTAGGTAACCCTCATCTTGAGCGGATTTCAAATGGGCCAATAAAGAAACCATCTTCAACAAAGCAGTACAACAGAGTACATGTGAAGCTAAAGATCATACAGTACTACACTGATAATCAAGGGATAAAGATAACTTAATGAAGACTTTACATTTTATCAGAAGATACAATCTGATCAGATATGCATCAGACAAGACAACTGCTGGTACCTCTTCTGGGTCATTTCTATTTTCTCTTTGCTCTTCCCTGAAAAAGACTTTAAAGGTTAATGTGTGTGCTAGCTTCAGACACATCCTAGACCTGCAACGTGTATACAGATCTTGGAAGAACTATTAAGAATTCTGCAATTCATGGCAAAATCCAAAACCTATTAAAACTTAAACTACAGTTTTAGCAAGATTCAGGTTTGGCTGATTTTCTCATTTTCTTCATAAAGGAGGGGAACTGAACTACTATGAGCTAGTCTTGTCCCCAAACTACTTGAATTCTTACCAACTGATAGATTGCACATACATAGTAAACAGGCTTACAGTATTTGTTTACTAGTGAAACATAGTCAGTAAAAAAAGAAGCAATGTTTGTCTTTAAGGGATTTGACTAAAAAATGTCACTTCAGTCACTCAAATTATTCACAACTTCTAAATGAGAAAGGCAATTATTTGTCTGGTCTTCTAGCTGCTCTTAGAATTAGCAGGAAGAACGTAATGATAGCTGTGCGTGCCAAAGTCCTTTTACATTTCTACGATGATAGCACGTCTCAGGATTCTTTAAGCTTTTTTTGATCCTTTGATCTTTTCCCTGGCAGGATTACTACTGAATACTGAAGCCTCAAAATTCTTAATCAAGAAAAAAAAAATAATGGTAATGAGAGAAATATCAAGGTTTCTCAATCAAATTTTTATTTACTAGCAGTTTATCCCTTTGGAATATACCAGTTCTACCTATAAGCAAAGGCAATATCTAAGCTGGACCAGTGATGTTAGCAAGTGATAGACAGGTAAGTACAAATATGTTGAGCAGTCTGAATATGATTGTTTTGAAAAGAGGGAGGAGGAGCAGAAGAAAAAAAAAAAGAAAAAAGACTTCAAAATGGTGTCAAACAAGTACCAAAACATTATTCCTTACGTGACCAAAACTAGCTTAACTTTGTGCATCCTTCTTAAGCAATCCTACAGGGAGGAAGTACTAAACACAATTAATAATTCATTACATTGAGAGAGTTACAGCTTAAAAAAATGAATCCTCCAGATATTTTTGTCATTTTTCAGTGTTTATGTAGTGGGTTACAGAAGTCATTATCCTTCCAGCTTAGGAGCTGACAGATAGATGTTAGCCAAAGTGATTTGAAACCTCACCTCCAAAACCAAAACTGCTAAAAATGAGTGCAGAAACCAATGCACTAGAATACCTGATTCCTATACAAATACTTCAACAAATAATTCAAATTTTCTAATCCTATTTGAAGTTAAAAATTAGTACATTTCCAAACAGTATTGTGTCAAATCCTAATATATAAAAATAATTGTCAGAAAACTTTTCCCCTCACCTAGGAAGGGTTTCTAAATGCCAGTCTTCAGAAATGCAGATAACTAATCTGAGCACTGCAAATCCTAACTTTATATCAAGTAATCCGAGTTATACTAATCAGCAAAATGAAAAATTTCGAAGTTACAAAAGAAACTAAATTTGTATGGCAAGTTGAATTAAACACAAAACCATCTGAAATACAGCAAAGCAGCAAACTTTCGATAATGCTATTTTGAGTTCTTTTGACAAAAACTAGGTATTATTTGAGCTTTTCCATTTGGACAATTTTCATGTTACATATAAGAATAGCCAAATACATATTTTCCTCATTATCTTCCATAATCTGAAAAGGTCTAAGCAGCTTAATATCCATAAAGTTAGCTATTGAAAGGTAGAAAACAGCTACATGCTCAGAATTGCGAGTTACGACATCATCTTCACTAAGTGGTTTTAAATACTGTACTGTTTTCTAATTTTGTATTTCTACTTAGACAAAGTCTGTCCAGTTATGATTACAGATTTTAATCTCTTGAAATTGTTACATGCATTAACATTCAAGATGACACTGAAAGCACTTCCAAAATATGCAAGTAACAGTTCACAAGGTATCTAATACTGAAACTGTATTATCTTTATCTAGAATTTACATCTCTGCCTTACACGAGTTTTCCTTTTATTAGGGAAGTATTAATACATTATGACCATGTTATTAGTAAAAAAAAAAAACCCACAAAAAAACCCCAGCTAGCAGAACGACTAGTACTTGGTGAATTCCATCACAAGGATGGGGAATAGAAAGATAAAGAGGCAATATACCCTCTAGGCACAGTATTTTGTTTCATGGCAGTCTTCAAGAGCTTGTCATCTGCATTGCTTCGGGTGCGCTTTTGATAATATATCAGACTGATCATGACTTGGTGTAGACTGTCATACTAACCAGACTTCTTTTTTTGTCCCATAAAGAAAATATTCAGGTGGACAGACACCTGCATTCCTTTGGAATCCTCCTAAAATGTAAAGTTGGACTCTAAAGCATTTCAAGTACAATGTAACTGAAGAAAATTAGTTTTCCCCAAATTGAAAGTACATTAGACAAAACGCTTTGTGCACATGCTCCCTTTTGCACAACAAAACCAGACTTTTACTATACTGGTAAGAGCTTCCAAGACCTGCATATATTGATGCACCAATCAAAATTACTTACAGTCCCTACCACATTAATTGGATTTTTCTCTTATTTATCTCAAGTAAAACTGGCTGTTACATCATCCAGAGAAAAATGACAATATATCCATGAAGAGGATTATCATTACTATACAGTTATTGAACCACTGAGATTGTATTAGCTTTGCGTTGGAGAACCGAGACAAGTATGTTATACTGATAAAGAAGTTCAACGCCGTCATGACAGCGATATTCATTGTAATATCACTACTTTAAAATTCCCTTTAGTTTTTGATTTAGTTATTTTGTACCTCTAACCTCAATCCCCATCTCGATTCCCTATGTAATACCTCTGTAGGATGAAATAAAGGCATTTTCTCCCTGCAGTATTCTGAGGAACGAGGGAAGCGAAGCAATGAGAAATCCGAGAACTGCATGCACATCTCCAGTAGACATGCATCATGCATAGGGCAAAAAAAAAACAGTGAAAATGCGTGAGGAGAAGATGGGAAGAAATCTGAAGTTGTACTGTACCACGCTTTATCACAGAAGTAATGGACTAACTTCTCAACTCCTTGCCAATAGCATAATGGGAAAGCAGAGACAAGAAAAAGACAAGGACAATGATGTCAGAGGACCAAGACAAAACAATGAGCAATTGCCATGACAGAACTGCAACTTTTCACCATTTAAATTGCAATTACCGTGTCCCCCATTGGTTTTTAATCCACCTTCCAGAAACAAAGGTAGCAACAGAGTTTAAGTAATGCAGTACAAATATTTATAGCAAGACCTACACAGAATACCTTTGCTCTTGTAGCTTGAAATCTTTTAACACAGTTAATCTCTTACACTTCAAATACTGTTTAGAGCTGTAACTAGAATTTGTGTGTATGATTACAACTGTATACATCAAAAATATTTGCATTCACGCACATACATGTTAGATATCTAACAATGAACAACGATGTCATAAGATACAGCATATTACATATTTTGACCATGTTGCCCATACTGTTTAATAACCCATCTTCCTAGCAACTGACTCATGAATTTGAAGAGGCACCAAACTACCATGGTTTCTTTCTGGAGGGGTGCAGGGACGAAGGGACACAAACCCCACTAAAGAAATTTTTCATTTTCTGATCAGTTCTGACATCCCCCATCTCACTGCCTTGACAGAGGATAACCTGTCATTTCACAGGCCTTCATTTGAAGACACAGCCTTGCTGAAAGGCTACACTGGAAAGCTCATTTTCTACCTGCGGAAAACATCAAGATTTCACACCTTAGATCCATAGCATTTGGGAATACCTTCATTTTGGTTTTGGGTTTGGTTTTTTTTTCCCCTTTTAGCTAGCTATATTATACCTATATTTCAACATTGTAAAACAGGATTCCACAGTATGGAGTATGTCTTCAAATAATGATACAAAACAACCCTTTTTTTTTTTTTTTAAAAACCACCATTCACCACAGCATGGGGGGGTAGTAAAATAACTGGTAATATGGCATAGCATAATTTTTTTTCTGCACAGTCTGTATAAAAATTCCAACCTAAAGAAAGATACTGTTTTTCTCAAATTAAAATGACTGAATATATAGCTCCATCAAGGCAGGCATTTCATCCATAAATACAGATATATGTGCAACAAAGAGACAAATATGACTATATGTAAAATTATTTGTTTGCAAATATATGCTTAGTTAGGTACAAGAGACATCTCTCTTGTAATCCAATCTGCAACCACCCAACTTGGGAGAAGGGTTCTTAAAAGACATTTCTTCATATAGCTCACATTTCTCTGAGCAAAGTCAAATACATGTAAAGGACACTAATGTAATGATTCCAGGACATTTTCAGTAATTTGTCACTCTCAACATGAGACATAGAACTTCCAAGATAATATCTGGAAGCAACTTTGTTCTGCTAACACCATTTCTCTGTATACCCTACAAAGAACCTCAACTGGTCAATAAAGATTTGGACACATTGCTTAGTGTTAAGCAACACACCCTTGCTTGTTTTTTTAAGACAGACATGAAGCAGCAAAGTATGCACACTGACTATAAATCAGATCCAGTCAGTGGCTTGCTTTCTGGTGATAAAGAGCTATGTGTCACCTGCCAGAATTGCTTACATTATCTTTATTTGTAATCCTTACACACAAAAAGTCTAAATATTTTCTGCATGAAGTGCACAGTAAACAGAGATGTGAACAACTGCAATGCTTGAGTAACAAAATAGTTTTCATCTGTGTTTCTGTGGGGAGAAGCACTAGGGGCCTAGAGAAAGTGGTATAATGTTGTATTACAGCAAGAGTTCATAACTGGTTCAATTGACAACATGTATTCTAAATGCTATGTTTCTAGAGCTGCATCATTAAAGCTCCAGAATACAAATGCAAAAGTTTTAAATTGTATTGAAGAAAGTTTGTTATGTCATCAAATTATATCCTATTACTAAGAGAAAACTAAAGGAACATTACATAAGAATTGAGTTCAAGACACATATGAGAGTTACAGGAATAAAAAAAATACAATTTTGTTCATAAAATGACAAAAATCAATGTACTGATGGGAAGCCATTTATGAAATATGAAATATTGAATTGTTTCCAAGGCTGTTGAAACAACATGAAGTTAATAAATGTGAAAGTATTGAAAGTTAATTCTCATTGAAAGTGCAAAACACAGCTCCAGTTCTACAGTGTGTTAACGAAGTGCAGCGTTACGGTAAGTTCTCAGGGCGAGTTAAGCAGTAGGCATGCTGACCTTGCAACTGGTGCTAACAGAGAAGAACTGTAAGCATACAATAGTATTGTAATACTACGTAGCAGGGATATGTTACTTGTCCTGCACAGCAGCAGTAAAATCTGATTGCAGTATATAAACAACTAAATATGAAGAGTTTACAGATTTATGCCCTCAATCTACAGCACTTGTAAGCGATCTATGTATCCATCAGCTATCAACAACACAGGGAAGAAACCTGCAGTATTCACAAGTGCAGACAGTGTTTTAGGTTTGGGATCCAGAAGTTAGAGAAGAAATGCTTGAATTCCATTATCTCCAGACAGAAAACACAGCTAAACAAAAACCGAGACTATTTCATGTGCCCATCACCACCTCCATATTACTGCAAAAAACACTAATGTTGACTTTAAGGCTGTTTTCCTGTTCTCAGTGGTGATGCCAAGCTCACCACTTGCCTCGAAACCCCACATTTGGCATTCTGTACTAGCTCAAAAACCAGCAGACCTAGAACTACTGAACCGAGGGAAGAGGTACTGTGGGGAAAGAAAGATGCTAGTGATAATTCCAGTAGTGTTTCTGCTTTATGGGACTCTTCACACAGTGGTAAAACATTGATTTTGCAAGAGTATCAGTAAAAGTGTCCAAGAAGCCTCCTAATTTATACTGAAATTTTTATTCTCAGTATTTATCTTTTGATCAAACCTAAGAATTAAAGAAAAAGGCTAGGAACACTCAGTTACAGGAAACATTTTCCTAAGAAATAGGTTAAATATAGTTTAGGTTAATTAGTCAGTGCCCAGTTTTCATCTGCTTTATTTCCTTTACTAGTAATTCACAGAATTTAATGTACAAATGTATACTAAAAAAATCCAACCTGCTTTAGCCATGGAAGTTCACTATGGAATCTCTGAATAAGAAGCTGCTGCCATTAGCGGAGGAATGAGGTGGGTGCCCAAAGAACTAATCTGAGATTAGCAAAGTTTTCTTCTTCACTTAAGCAGTCAAAGTGAATGACGTGACTACAGAGGCACCCATCTGGCAGCTCAGACACCATCCACCCATTCTAACTCTGATCAGTAAGCCCCAAACCCATGACATTTATATGCTCCTCAGGTCTAAACCTGATCTTTTTAGACTCTCTGCTGACAGGACAGCAAAGTAGCCAGGCTGTACCACTGCTGGCCCTCTACCCAGAAACAGAAGATGAGATGATCAGCTTTAGGGGTTCTACGTTTGTTACACACACACACAGAGTCCCACATCAAACACCACAGGAAAATGAAGCACATCCCTCCACTCCATAAAGAAAAGCCTATGAAACAGGCTGTGCATTCCTGATGAGTTGTTTAAATGAATGTTGTCACAGAAACATCAAGAGAGTATTTGCAACAGTTTACAAAATACAAGATTTTTTTTTTTCCCTTGGAATTGAAATAAATTAGGATTATTGAAATCTGGAATATATGCAAGCTTAGTTTTCCAAGGTGTGGCTTATTCTTCAGGTGTCCATTGGCCCTGGAAATCTTATTTTGTTTCCATAATTTTACTTTTTCCTTTATTTCTTGTCCAAATACACTCTTGGGCTTTGCTAGACAGTCAAACACACTGTAATTCTCAGATTACAGTACATTTTAAAAATATAACTTCAGCTTTATGAACTAGTTATATTTCTTGGAACAATTACGTGTTTATAATGCAATACCAAAGCACAAAATAAGACTTACCATTTCTCTATGTCTACGTAAGCATACAGTTTTAAAATCAGCAATTGTCTTTTGTTTTGCAGATCCAAGCCAAGAGAACAAGTGCATCTTATATCAGCCCACATTGTAGCTAGCATATAAGGAACGTTAATAAATCATGCAAGTTTTGCAACAGCCACTTCAATGTATTAGAAGCCTTTTTACAACAAATACCGAGGGTGGATGGAAATTAGTTTCAGGGAAGCCATTCTGAAAAGTTAATAAAACTTCTCATGAGAGGCAATGAAAACAACACTTTCTCACCAACATTTTTATGTGCGTCCACAACGTATTTATGTAAATACATCCACATATGCACGCGTGCAGACTTATGAGCAAACAAAACACATAGACAAACAGGATAGTATATTACAGCCATGGAAAAAAAAGGGAAAATGCAGCAAGCAAGATTTATGTTAAGACAAGACTGGAAACAAGGGCCTACTCAGGTTTGCCTGAACAACTGCTGAAGTAAATCAGCATTTAATAACTGTTATAAAGCTATAAGTTGTAGCTGCTTATACACTGGCTGAAGGAAGCATTTTGGTTAGCCACAGACTATTGTGTATGCCTGTAAATTTGCCTGAGAAAGGAGGCTACTACGAGATGAACGGTGCGTGCAAAGGGGAAGCTTCTACTGGAACACGGTGAGGGAGATGAGTGAGAGGTACAGACTCACTCTGTCTGCGGTGCGGTGGAACAGTCCGAGGGATGCCCTGGAATGAGCCCTGCCAGGGAGAGAAGGAGGGAGCAGAATACCCACCCTGTGCAGAAAGAGAGAGGGGGAGAAGTATAATAAAAAAGAGAACAGGGAAAAAAACAAGACACCAAAAAGCCACACCATTCTTTTTCCCCAGAAAGGTATCATTATATTTCCCAGTTGTTCTACTTTGTAAAACCAAATGCTAGATGCCGCTAAAGCCCAGAGGAAAAATGACATCATGATGCCCTGAACTAGTCAGAAATTTTACAAAATACCTCCATTTTTATTCAATATATGTGCACAGATTTCTGTTAAAGATGTTTCTAAGGAAGAAGTATAGGAGCTAAGTTTTTCATGTTAAAAATACATGCTAGAAAAATCATATTTTTTACAACTTTCAAAAATGTTTTAAAGATGCCTCACCAAGCAGTAAGTTGCTTAATAATAATCTACCAGAAAACCAATTAGCTTTAATTTAGAACAAAAAGTTTCTGATGTATAGAAACAGATTTTCTAGCAAATCCTGGTGCTTTAGAGTCTACTTCATTCGTATTTTAATAGCGTTATTAAATGTGAGAAAGGAGAGGCAATATATAACTGTTTTCCTTGCACTTTGCTCTTGGAGCTTGAGCCTTCTGTTACAGGATCAGAGAACCGTGCACGTCAATGCCACGCAGCGTTTGCCTGTCAGATGTTTCAGATCACCACAGAAGTGACACATTGTGGTTGCTACATTCTCAAAACAAGAAAGTAATTTTATGCAGCCTATCATTTTCTTCATAGCCTTACCTTTAAAAGAAATCTATCCAAGCTGGAACTCCCCTCTTAAATCACATAACCTTGATTTCCTATTTCAACAAGACAGGTGTAAGTCTTTACAGTCCTTTCACCATTTAGCAGCTGAAAACTTCTCCTTTTATGAATTCTGGAATATTAGTGCTAACAGTAACGACTGCCATTGCCTCCTGGCTACCAGCAACCAGCAGGTATCAACAGCAACCAGTTGTAGCTACTCTGTCAGACAGCAGGCATAAGATATCTGAATGAACATCTATATCAATGAAAACAGGAACACAGTTTACCCCTCCTCTCTAGTTTCTCTGTTGGCATGTCTGCTGCAGATCATACTGCCAGGGCTGGACAAATAATAAAGTGTTTTATTTCCATGCTTCTTTTAAAATAATGTTAAGCGTCACATCATTTCTATATAGAAATATTTGGCTTTTAGTTATCCTAGCAGAATTTTAAACACTTCCCTGACCTTCCAGTTATCCTAGTCTAGTTCGATTTTTTCCACCACTATTCCAAGTTTCAGTACTGCTAAGATGTAACATAATAATAAATGCATTTAGGCAAGTCTTAGATTTGCTAGCCAGAACATTTTTAAATCAGAACAGGAAATAAAGAAAAAATCTGACAAGGCTTCTTTATTCTTTTTCAGAAGATGAAATAAAACAATTATTGGAACAAAATCCAAGGAAAAAGTGAAGGAAGTTCTTTAATCTGATTATCTCTAGGTACAGATGTTGATTACCTAACATATTCTTAGAGTCCTCCATCAGCAGCCATTAACGTCAACACAATTTTTAGACTGCTGCATGAAAGAACAACAGTACTAGCTTAAGTCAAGTGATATGACAAAATAACATAATATGTTGCATTAGCCAAGTAGGTATTAAATACAGAGATATTCCTGGGAATGAGATTAACCAATCAGTGATAGATGAGACATTAACAAAAGCTTTAGATTTTCACAGCGCTGTACAAAAGAACAATTCATTTTCCAGGCTTGTTCCCATTTCATCCATAAATTGTGTCAGGGTCATGGAACAACAACGACAAATTCTTTCCATTCTCTAAGTGCAACCCAGTCTCCAGAGAGTAAAAAGCACAGTATCATCAGGCACAGGTCTCACCTTGGAGACACTTGTTCAAATTGGCAATGGGCTTTTTCCAGACTACATTGAAGTTTTTAATGCATTAAATTAGGAAGGGAGGTGAAAATTTTATATCCTCTCCCTTTCTATCTCTAAAAAGAGCGAATTAAGACAAGCCAGCTGAGCTACATAACACCTATGATACTATTGTAAAACCAAAGAAATATTTAGATGCCTTGATACATTCCAGTATTTTTTTAAGCATCCATATTAGCATTTCAAAGCACAGCACTAAGTTCTCAATAACTCTTCTTGGTATTTAATCATTACTCTGATTAGGGAAAGTAAATGAGGAAAGTGCAAGTAACTTCCTTCAGCGTTTTGCCTGCTAAACTGAACTGCTCTCCTGGCATGGTTCAGCCCTCTTCTCCCAAATGCTGGAGAACATTCTATAATCTGAGAAGCAGAGAACTAGCTCTTCCTCTGGCCAGGAGTCTTGAGAGTTTACACTGCTCCACACAGGCAAATGCCAAATAAATGCCAGATTTCTTATTTATTAAAAAAATCATAACAAGCACTGTTTAATTGTACATCAAATAAGGTAATTAAAATTAACATAAATTGAACCAAGTAAGGACCAGGAAATACAGCACCAGGATTTATTAGATGGTTATTATGAATTACACTGATTTTACAAATTATAAAGGTTGTACCTATCTCTTAGATATAGCACATTAAGAGATAAGTATCTGCAAATAAGCTTGACTTATGACATGATGACTTTTATTAGTATTTTACAAAACTCCTGCAAATTTACAAAGCTTTCTCCTTTAAACAACAACTCATATCTATCTCCTTCTATTAATAAAATGTGTGCTGAGGTTCCCAAGAAATCCAAAGAACAGGAAAAAAGAAACACACACTGATAAGCATGTCTCCTCAGATTATGGTACATATTCAGAACACAGAAAAAAGTGGCAGTTTCCTACTAAAAATAGGGAAGGAAAACCTGAAGTACCATTTCTTTTACGCATGATTATTAAAAAGTCTATAAAACTCATAAACAAGCAATGCTAAAATCAAAAGATGAGAACATGACTTACCTCATCTTCTATTAAAAACAAAAACAAAGCACCAAACCACATTTGATGGGATTCTTGAACCAGTCTGGGGGTTCTGAAGCCTAGTCTGATGCAAGTCTTCCCACTTGCACTTTAATGTTAGACAACAGTCAAAACAGTTCCTCCCCTCAGCTGCATGTGCATCCAGCCCCTAATCTTAAATCCTATTCTTATTTCCCAGATACTGTAATTGTGAAACAGCAAAAGCATCCCAAAAGAGAAATTATTCAGAATTTTAAACACCATCAAAACAGGAGACTCGGGAGTGAAAAAATAAGAGCAGATGAAATAAAGCAGCCTACAAACCAGAACAAAGTGATGAATGTTCTTCACAGATCCTGATGATTTGTACAATTGCTGCTGAATGCTTTATGAAGGTCTGACTAACTGCATTGGAAAACATGTTTGTTTTTTTAAAGGTTATGATGAAGATACCAAGGCCAGAGTTTTCCATTGCTATGAAGATACTTCAACCTTAGAATAAGCAATTACATGAACAAAAGCAATTGCTTCTGCCAGAAAAGGACGAGAGAAATATTTTTAAGCTATTGTTGCACAATAATTTTAGGCCAACAGCCAAATACTCCAGCTCTTTGCCCAAAGATACACCGATATCCAAAGCTGTTACTGCTTTAAAAAGTCTTTTCTGCTGCAGAAACAGAAATACAGGGAAGATCCATTTTTATCCATACTGCTGAAGTCTTGGAACAGTTCCAAGAAGTGACTTTTGCTGTGTCTCACCTAGCATTGCCAGTTGTCTCACACAAACTCAGAGCTCCACGTCATGAACAAACCTAGAATGACATACTTCAGATATCAATGCAAACAAAATGTTTTTGCAGTCTCCTCTTGCTAGCCTAGCACCCAGAAAGAGATTATGAATGAGCAATTCTGATGTGCAGTAGTCTTTTTGAAATTACTCACGCCAAAAAAAAGAAACCAGTCTTATGTGCTGCTTTATACTAAACCAACAAGAATTGCTTGTGAAAGGTTTAAAGGACCTCTCTTCCGTGCATGTGGCTACATGTTATGCACTGTTACTGTACCAGAGCAAGAAACATGCACAACTCAACTATCTAGACTGTTCTTCCTCACCAAGAACGTACATTATAATGGATCAGCAACTGAACAGCAGAGTACTGGACAGCAAGACAAACCTCGGCTGAATGCGAAGATAAACACTAATATAGCGACTAAGCTTCAAAACCTGGAAGTTTTAGATTCACAGTTGCAGAGTCAAAGCGTATAGAAACTTTAAGGCTAAGGTGGAAGGACATACTCGAAGACAACAGTACACAAAGACAGCCGAAGTATTATGAACGTTCATCAAAACAATTGACATGAAAAGCTTTGGAATGTCAAACTGGAACAATACTCAAATGGAAGGCAGAGAATATATCCCAGTGCAGAGATAGAGAAGAGATGTAGCAGATAACCAGAATATGCACGCTTCCAGGCAAAATTAGTTGCTTGTTGTCATTTTACCAGACACAAGCATGAATTTGTACATACATTTAGGAAGCAAAACTTATTCTCATCACCGTATGCTATTCCGAGACCAAGGAGAAAAATCAGCTTTTACTGTCCACTATCTACTGCTGCAGGGCATGAAGAGCACCCATGAACTAGGAGGAGTTGTGTTATGCTTAAGGAACTGGACCTCAGGCCAGAATCCTTTACAGACATCTTCATCCATATGCAGGTTTTGTAGTTTGCTTGTCTTTTACTTCTCAGCATCTGCAAACAACCTTTCCAGTTTGAGAAGCCAAATAATTTGTCAACATGAACTTGACATGTAACCCCTTTACCCTCAAAATCTTTAAAAAAAAGTCAGTATTTAGTATTATAGAAACAACGTTGCAAAGCCTGTGAGACAATTGTGGTAATGGACACTCGCATTTTTCTTCCTTGTAAGCTTTGTCCACCAACATTAATTTCTTCAGGTAACTTTATGTTCAATATCTTCTTCCAGGTTTTGGTTTTCTGGTGTTCTTGTTTGGGTTTTTTCCCATGCTAGTTAAATGATAAGCGTAAATTAACTGGAAGTGAATTCAGTGTAACAGAGCTAAGAGAAAACCTTTCAGAAACATCATGGTCTACCTCATCAGTGAATACTTGTACAAGCTTTTATCCTGAGGATGGCTAACCAAAAATAATCTTTCTCTCCAAGTTATCATCTATACAAACAGTCAGAAATGACATAATGTAGTTTTGAGCACACTGTCAGGACACTGGTTACAAGAAACACCATGTAGCAGACACAGTGGCTTGGCAATAGGTTAATTCCTAATATGCTCAATTTTCAAAACATTTATTTTCAGCCACTAGGTTTTATTACATGGAGTACTAAGTTCCAATGATTAACCTAAAGTTACATAGCTTCCATTTATGTACATATTTACCTTTAAATAGAAAAAAACCCCTAAAAGTACTTTCAAAAAACTATGTGGTCCCTACAGAGAATAACGCCAGACAAGTTTATAACAACATCAGGATGGGGCATTTTCTAGAAATAGCTAGTAATAAAGGATGAGCAGACAGAGAACATGACTTTTTAGAAAGAGTATGTTTAATGACATTCACTTGCCTATTTACTGGGAGAACCATGAAGTGATCACAAATACTAGCTATTTCAAGTGGACAGAAGAACTGCAATAAATTAGTGCAATTCATATGGTCTTAAATTCCTAACTGAACTCTTCTAATAACCAATTTCCACTCCCACTATTTCCTCGTTTATTCTAGCATCTATTCTTTACGAAACACCGCATTAACTACGTTTGTTAAGCACATTTCTGGAAGCATTTAAAGTATTTCTTGGAACAGTAATATACTGTGTGTTCCTAGACTGTTATTTGTGCTTCAGGAATCAACACATAGTATCAGTTCTGCCAGAATCTGTAAACTGTGAGAATAATCTTGAAGGTTATGATAAACTAACTAAAGTAACTTCCTGATATTCACCATCATTTAAAGTAACTGACAGGTCAACACTTCGAGGAAAAAAATGAAATAGCTAAATATTCATCAGCTGGAACAACTATTAACAAGCTTAAAGAAGCAAAAAAACTTATACGCCTCAAAGGAGATGGACTCTCATTCCCAAGATTTCAATTATAATTTTTTTCTTTTAAAATGTAGTCTATATAAAAAATTAATAATTTCATAAACATTAACTATATTTCATGGTTCATACAACATTTAGGACTAAAATCTGATTTCACGTAGCCTGCGCTCTCAGACCATTATATTAAACTGAACAGGAATGTTGTTAAAGAAAAATAATTATTGTTTTTGAGAGGTTTTTTTAGTGAGAATACATTTTACTGAAGTGTCCCCTGCTGTTTCTATTTATCCTACTCTTGCATCAAGAATATAGAGTCAATTATCTCCCCTTTCTATTGCAAGTGACATTTTATGTCATTGGGTTCCAGATCAACATTGATTTCATGCCAAGGCCTTTTCTACGTTTATACTTCTATTAAGCCACGCGAGGAAGCATACAAATGCATGTTAGCAGAGGAACTATTAAACATGAAAGTTGAGGTCTGATCAAAAGAACTGGAACTCGCCTACAACAGCAAGACTATCCTCCCCCTTTAAGAAATCCCACAATCAGGAGCTCATATCAATCTCTGTTTGCTTATGGAAAGCCTCCATATAACTTACAGATAATGCAAAGGAGAAGGCATTAAAAAAAAAACATTCTGCACAAAACTTTTCAGCTATCATTTACAAATAAAAGTTCCTGAAAAAACATGCATTTTGAAAATTTGTCAGTATTTAATGAATTTTCCTAATTCCTTAATCAATTTTTATGAAAAACTTTAGATGTAAAGATAAAAATACTGAGAAGTTTATAATGCACATCTAATGAGCCTAAGCCTACACATATGTATGTGTATCATATACATACACATATACATATATCCACACACATACACACACCCAACCCTGAATGCAGAAGTCCTTTTTTCTTTTTTCTATTTTTAGAATTATATTATCCTTTAACCCGAATTTCCTCATGATAAAAAAAGTGTCTTTTTGAACAAAACTACTGAATAATTTAGGAGAAATATACTTCCACCTGACCAAACCAGACAATTGGGCTAAATGACTACTTTTACCTGAGATATCAACTGGCATTCCCATCTTCTCCAATATCTTTGTCTTATCAATTAATACCACCAGTCGCTCAAAATAAAGCTTCTGTAGTTAGCAACTAACTTTGACAGTTACTAATCTGTTTCTGAGTTTACAAGGAAAATGATAGGAAAAAAAAGGAACACGGAAACAACAATAGCCACTAACCTAGTAATAGTATCAATACAGAAACACATCAAATGAACATCACAGATAGGAAATTAAAACTTGGGAAAAAGAAACAATACAAGAGCTCAAAATCTCCAACATAAAGAGAAATAAATGGGATAAAGAAATTAAACACACTTTCTGGGACAGAGATGTTGGAGCAAACTAAAAACTACATGAGGTTATGATCTTTTTATATTGGGTTCTTATCAGACAGCAGACCATTGGAAAGCCTCGACAGGACAGTGCTGTTTGCTAGCAACTGGTGAACATACAGTGTGGTGGTATTTCTATTCTAGCACTATATATTTAAAAGAATAATTTTAGAAGGTGAGCAGGTGTGATTTATCTTTATTACAATCTTACGTCAAGTAACTCAAGGCAGGGTAAAAACAAAGAAACAAAAATTCTAACCCATTTTTAACCTTTTAAAGAAATCTCTTAGGATTCTCTAGCTACAGCAGTAGCTTCAAAGACTAATTGCTGGTGACTGACAAAAGCCTTGTTTATCATTCAAAGGTAATTCCTTGTTATTATATAATATCAAAAGTGTTGTCCCTCCCCCAGCATTCTGTTAGTGTTTCATGAAGAATGTAAGTTTTATATAATGGAAGCAAATATGATCCATGCAACAACGTATGGGAATGAAGATGCCCTTTGTCAAAGTGATTTTTCACCCAATAATTTTTTGAATGAGTCCCGTTCTTAAAATAAATCATAAAAATAAAAATAAATATTTTTTTAATAAAAAAAGATTAACTTTGGTATTAACAATTGTGGACTGAAACTTTAGAATAGACTGCTGCTTTTCCTCAACAAATGTGAGAACATTAACAATGAAACTTTAACCAGAAAAAAACAGATACCTATGACTTTAAAGTCAGGATACAGGAAAATATCTTATGTGTAATTACATATATAGCTTGGACTCACTGTAACTTAAACAGTGCAAAGGGTGATTATTTTAAGAGGAGACTTATAAAGTTTAAATACTTATTTTAAAAGAAATGTTTGTAATAAATGTTTAAACAAAAGGGTTGCAAAAGAATGTGAGGGATGCAGAGCAGGAAGGATACCACTCTCATACAGCACAGAATCTCTTAAACAAGGCCAACTTGTGTGACGGCAAAAGTAGTAGAACTAGGGAATGAAATGCAGAAAGTCATAACTGAGAAGGAATGGCACATTTTACTCACAGAACTCCTCCTCCAGGAGGTTTGCGTAAATTTATCAGCATACGCACACGTCGCCCCTGTAGGTTTTTGACTGTCTTTCTGGCAGTTACATCTAGTAGCCTTAATCACCCCCAAAAAGAGAAAAAGAAAGGAGAATTTGTTAGAAAATAATTAACTAAGCATCTTGAAAAGCACAGTCAAGGCCCAACGTTCAAATATCATGCACTGCTTGACGGTATAGCACAATACAATTAAGCTGTAGAAAACAGTATTTACAGTGCTGCACAACTGCTTCTTTTCCCAAAGTATGTTTAGAAATAATCTAGAATACATGTTGACTTTTGGAAAAGGTTTTTGATTCACTTAAATTTCTGAAGCACCACATTCTTTAAGTCACCTTTCAATAATTATGAATACAAATTTTATCCATCTTTATGGTAGAGTTCCTCAGCTGCAACAAAGTTTACAGTTACTACAATAATTAGGTATATGACCTAGCAGGGAAGGAGATATTTCCTTGAGGAAATCTTTGAAAGCAGAACAATAGGCTGTCTTGGTTTCAGCTGGGATGGAGTTAATTTTCTTCCTAGTAGCAGGTATAGTGTTGCGTTTTGGATTCAGGATGAGAATAATGTTGATAACACAGTGATGTTTCAGTTCTTCCTGGGCAATGTTTACACCAAGTCAAGGACTTTTCAGCTTCTCATACTGCCCCACCAGCAAGGAGGTGGGGGGTGCACAAGAGGCTGGGAAGAGACACAGCCAGGACAGCTGAGTCCAACTGGCCAAAGGGATATTCCATCCCACATGATGTCATGCTCAGTATATAACTGGAGGGAAGCTGGTCAGAGGTTTAGACCATGGCTCAGGAACTAGCTGGGCATTAGTGGTCTGCAGGTGGCGAGTAATTGTGCTGTGCATCACTTGTTTTGTATATTCTTTTATCATCATTATTATTATTTTCCTTTTCTGTCCTATTAAACTGTCTTTATCTCAACCCACATGTTTTACTCCCCCCCTCCCCAACTCCCTTCCCCATCCCACTGAGGGAGGCAGGCAGTGAACAAACAGCTATGTGGTTGTTTTAACTGCTGGGCAGGTGAAACCATAACACACGCCCAATACTTGTTAATTTTTGAGATACTTTATGCTTAAAGTGCCTTATCTTTGCTCATTGTTATTTCTGAACAGCTTCTAGAATTATGTTCAAAGTGTTCGTTTTGGAAATGAAAAATATTTTAACAATTGTATAAACATCCTTGCTTAGTGCCACACGTACACATCATGACTGGCCTACAGAATTAAAGATCCCAGGTGTACAGCTGCAAACACTAGAACATGTAGAATCAGTCTGCTAACTGAACCTTTACAGACCCATGAATCAGGTGGGTCTAGACACAACCCAAATCTACCTTTGTTATAATCCAAGTGTAGGAAAAAAATGAGACGTCCAGCTCTTAAAGCCTTCACAAGAACTACCTATTGAAGTTACTCTCTGCAGTGCACACTTGGGATTTTATGAAACATTTAGCATTATACTTACAAGTTTATGCTCTAATTGATTGATTGTTTCATCCTTTTTCTTCAGTTGATCTTTAAGCTGCCTGATCTCATTCAGCAGATCGTCCATCTGCAATAGAATAGTGGGCAATAAGAGGTTTTCTGTAAAGGCTACGCAATCTAAATCATAGAATCATAGAATGGTTTGGGTTGGAAGGGACCCTAAAGATCACCTAGTTCCAACCCCCCTGCTGTGGGCAGGGACACCCTCCACTAAATCCACACCTCTACAAGGCACATTACATCAGATGTCCACGGAGGACTGGCAGTAATAATAGCACGTTTTCCTCCTCTTATCAGCACGGTAAGATGGGCTGTAGGCATATAACATAAAGAGCGCAAAAACTTGACTAGAAGTCTCTTAAAGAGACAGAGTTGAGCTGATCCACTAAATTTTCAGGGTACCTAAGTAAATCGGCTGCATTTTTGATGCAGTAATTCAACCGCTGTATAAGCAACTGACGTCATGTAGATGAACATCCTTAGCCATCAAATACTGCCTATAGTCCTCTTCATCCAACCACAAAAAATAGTGAAGCCTAAAGGTTAAGTGCACTGCTATTTAAAAATTATTAACTAAAGTGACAGAAATAAGAAAAAATAAATTTAGATATAAGAATAATTTTACACATAAGCACAACTGTTTACAGAATGCAAACCACACAACTGAATTGAATACATCCTACTAAGAACTGAAGACTTAAAATAATTATGCAAAGTTCAGAGACTAAAAAAATTAGTAAATATGCAAGAGTGAACTTATTTTTAAAAATGATTTTTCATCACAAGGTAATTTTAACCTATTTTATAACTATGCCATTATACCTAGGACATAAATTAAGGGGCATACTTCCATTAGTAGCATACATGTACTATTTCAGTTTCACTGAAGATGTTACTAGTTACTGCTTTAGGACAATACCCAGACTGATCGGTTGTGCAATTTTTCAAACCATATGCCAGTATCAATTAAAAAACAACAATTCAAGTTGTCAGTTAAACCTAGCACTTTTTTGTTATGAAGTTAAAAAGCAATACTTTTTCCTCTAGGAATTAAGACTAAGATTCTACAATTTTGAGGGAGGTGACCATAGAAGGACAAGCACAACAAATACATTAGACAAAGAGAAAAGAAGGCCTAAATGTTAACAAAGGAGAAACTAAGGTCGTTAAAGGATGATGCACATGGATCTACAGCTTTGGCAAACCTCTTAAACCCTGAAACCAGGATTTGGACAGACAACCTTCAAACAGGAATAAGACCGTAATTGCTCTTCCCTTAAGAAGTATTTCTAATTTCATTGTATCTTCAGCAAGTATTGTTCCCCTCTCATAAGCGCAGGATCTTTCTATACTGATCTTACAGTAAGAGCCTAAAGCAATGCTATAAAAGCTTACCACTGTAGAAAGCACAACTTTACAAGTCTGTGATCATAAAAGATGATCCTTTATGGAATATCCATTGTGATTGCTTCTTCCATTAATACCCATTCTAAACCAATAAACACAGCTTTGACTTTGTGGGGTTCACGCTGGTTGTAAGTTATGTCTGCAATACCTGCATTATCTCAGGGAAAACTTACTTTAGATAAAAGATTTTAAACTGAAGTCAACAATAAATGTAATGAAACAGAGCAAATAATTGAGTAAGTATGGTACAATTACACTTCAAAGCAAAAATTGTCTTTTCAAATTTTAACACTTATCAAGTAAGCAGAAAGTTTTTTTAAAGAAGTTACACTACAGCTGTTAATTCCCACATGACTGCTACAAATACCAAAAGGCAAACATCTTAATTATTTAAACCATGCTAACATTTGTAAGAATGTATTTTAAAAGGTCAAACAAACCCTTCCATTTTAACAAAACTGAAAAGATGAAGATATAAACATTAGCTAGATTTGCGTTTAAATACATGAAAGAAGCAAGAACTACTTCACAATGACACAGAAGTTTTCTGTTTGTGTTTTTTAAACACAGATAGGTTTGCACCTCTCATTCTGTAAAGTCAGCATCATTTACCTTAAAAGTTGACTCAGGTTCTTGTGGTTCTGGACTTGATGGGACTGAGAGCAGGATGTCCTGGAGTGACACGTTTTCATCATTCTATCAGAGAACAAAAACCAAGAACAAAAGAGTTCAAACTACTTGCTGAAACGACTCTCTTGCAAACTTGCTTTCAAGGATGGAGTCACAGCACCTCTCTGTGGAACCTGTTACAATGGTTGATCTCTCTTACTGTGAATTTTCTTTTTTTTTTCCGCTCCTGATAGTAAAGCCTCCCTTGCTGCAGCATGTGTACAGTGTCCAAACAGGGCCATGAACAGTCTCCCTCTCCTCACAAAGCTGAGGAACAGCTGCAACTATGTCAGAGTGTGTTGATTTTGCACAAAGATCTGGTAAAAATTGGCCATTGTGTTCAAACATGTTGTATCACAAAGGAATAGTGATGCTCTGCAATTTTAAAAGCTTTGTTTCCTTCAGTATCCATTCAAATAATATGGCTGAGCAATATCAAAATATACAGCCAAAATATTTCAGCTAGGAATTCTTAACTAAAAAAAGCAACATTTGCTACTGGGCAGACAAATACAAAATTAATTCACAGTCATCAGAACTAAATATCAATTATAAAAACTGAAACTACACAAAAGTATTCTTTCCTCCCACGACAATCATGAATTCTGAAATTAAGCACAAGAAGCAGAAACAAATAACCAAAGACGCCAAAAGATAATTGCCTGGGTATATCCTGAAGCACTTACACTCTCGTGACACAAACTCCCACAACCATTACGTGCAGTACTTTAAGCCTGTGGCGCTGAACCCCAAAAAGCTTCAGTTCGATTACAGAATCAAGTCTCAGACCGAACAACTGACTGTGCATTCTCATGGTAAGTCCTCAGCTTTGTACCGTGACGTTGTGTCCAATCTCAGTGTGACACAAACTTACAGTACAATTACAATACAGTTATTTTATGTCCGTAGAAGACCACAACCTATATTCCCTTGCTGTAAAAAGATTCCCCTCTTTTCTATCTCTTCCATCTGCTACCTTCCTAAAAAGAAAAAAAAAAAAAAAACAGGAACCTTCTACCTTACAGAAGGTAGAAGGGTTCTTAGGAGGGGACTTTCTTTACCCAATGACCTCACCACCTAAGATTGCATTTGTAGAATGTAAGAGCAGCACATCTCAAAACCTGTCGGAAACTGCTATAAGGCTGAGACAGCAACTGCCCAAAACCACAAGAATCAAACTGCAGCTGAAATGCTTAAGATCAATGAAGGGAAAAACCCCACAACAGACCTACCTATGTTCTTTATGTCTATGAGGTATCTTTTTTGGTTTTAAACCAGAAGAAATACTTCTTATATGTTTTTAACTAAACTGCAGAGAAACATCAAGGAGATTGTCCAGATACAATAAAGCAAAAGATTAAAATTAATTTTTAGTTTTTCCTATAGTTACTGATTACTTGCAGCCAAAATATAAACAACCATCACCAGACTTAAAGATAATCCTAAGAATTTCATACAGTTCCAAATTGCATTTACTGTACTATAGACAGTTAAATTTAATTTCCACACCCTAGATGTAATTTTATCTCTTGCAGTTTTTTGGTGTTCTGTTGTTTGCTTGGGGCTTTTGGGTTTTTTGGGGAATTTGGTGGGTTTTTTTGGTGGTTTTGTTGGTTTTTTTTAAACTCTTAGCTTTTTTTTTTTTTAAGTGACTATTACTTGTCCAACACACAGTTGTATTCAGTACACAAGTAGTTGCTTGTCCCTTCTGGGCAGATCTCCAGCAAGTGACAGGCTGATGAAGCAGCAGTTTACAGTCTATGTTATGAACAAGTTCTAATACAATATTAGATAAATATTTGAAAAAATATTTCAAATATTTGTTCATACTTTGTTCAATATATGAACAAGTTCTAATACAATATTAGATAAATATTTGAAAAAAATTTGAAATATTTTGCACAATAATATAATAAAAACAAACATTACTCAATCCCAAACATTTCTAAAATGCTAGAGGAAAGGAGCAGCAATTATCGATTTCATCAACATTTATTATTTTAAACAACAATTCAAACAGATACACACACTCAGGAGACAAGGTACATCAAACAGTCAGTGTTATAATTGTAAAGGGGTAATCACGGGAATGGAAAAACACAAAACAAGACAAACTATTTCACACAAAAGTATCTTGCATGACTTTTAAAAGCTCTATCACCAATACCGCTGGTATATCTTTTATTTTCCATTGAAATGCATAAGTGGAGTCATAAATCATTCTACAACAGCAGATTATGACCTAACTGCAAAGAAAATTAGTATGTCATATATTCTCTGGCGATTTCAATCAAGTACTCCAGCCCTATGCCATACTTGACTACCATTCACTAGCAATGCGAGAACTAAGTTAATTTGCACCAATTCCCTTACCACTGCCTTAGTTATCTTAATACATATAATGAACACCGTGCAACTGAAAAAAGTAAGTTCTAACACTATCAGTGGGAACTTAAACATCCCATTGTGAACATCCGCTAAGATTAGTCTATGAAACTTCTCTTGTTCTGCTTTTTCTTTCTTGTTCATCATGTTGCTAAAATGAGATGGGGGAAGGAGAAAAATCAGCAGAATAAGGCTATCCATGTCCAAAACCAAAGAGATTAGAATTAGCAAAAAGACAATAAAATTAGCAAAACAAATGGTACTCGTTATACGCACATGCTGATTTTGGTAGCCTAGAAATTATATACTAAGATATCATCAAATTCCAGAAACTTGGAGACAACACATAGTTTTAACCTTTACGTAAAATTACTATCAACTTTATAAAGCTTATCATCGTATTGCAATAGGCAATAGAAAAAGCTGCTAGCTCTTGCGCTTTACCTGACCAACATCTTTACAATATTAGAACACATTATTATGATATAATCATGTCTTTAGAGCAGTTGGACTAGTCCCATTTGTGCCAAATGTAAAAGATGTTTACAAAACCAGTAACTCTGGTGTGTTGGGTTTGCGTGGCAAGGTTTTGGTAGTGGGGGGGCTACAGGGGTGGCTTCTGTGAGAAACTGCCAGAAGCTTCCCCTGTGTCTGACAGAGCCAATGCCAGCCAGCTCCCAGAAAGGACCGCCGACTGCGCAAGAAAACCC